GAGATAAGGTGTTTCTTTTTCCTTTGCAATAGGGATGGAACATCAATTGTCCTTTCAGATGACGTTGGGCAAATATACCTTCTAAACACAGGCCAAGGCGAGTCCCAGAAGGATGCAAAATATGATCAGGTATATTTTGATTGTGTATATTTGGCACTTTCGCTTGTAATGGGAATGAGCCTAACAACTATCCAAACTTATCACCATATCTTGATATTTCCCATCAAGTGAAAAGAACCTTGATGATGGCGGTTTTGGATCTTCATGTCATTTTTCCTTCTAAAGAAGGTTGCTTTTTGCATATATTCATCGTGTATTTGTGTTAAGCAATTTCAGACCAATAGTTGTCAATACAAATTTTATGCCACCGACAACTATGTAATTGGGATTAAAGTGCCTCGATGATTATTTTACTTGTGTTTTCAAGGTTTGAACAAGCATTTCATGCTCCTTTTTCTTTTGATTTAAACAGTTCTTTCTTGGCGATTATCGCCCCCTTATCCGGGATACTCATCAGAATGTTATTGATCAGGTGACTACCCTTCACCTACAATAGTGGTTCATTCTTCCCCTATTATGCAACATCAGTAAATACCCTTGATTCTAGAAATAATGTTCAATTTGGGTGATCAGCAAGATTGTTTTAATTAAGCTCCAAGCTTTGGGTTACCATACATGCATGTTATTTTGGTTGGGAGGGACTCACACTTCTTTTGGACCAGGGGAACTTGATATGATCAAGAATGAAGAAATATTGGAGTTGTATTATAGAATGCTAATTCAGATATGTGTTATACCTGATGCAGGAGACTCAATTGGCTCCATACCGACGAAATTTGCAGGATCCTCTTTGTGATTCAAGTATAGCATTTTTCCTCTCTATTATGTTCCCTTCATAACAATGCCTCTCTTAATAGTCAATTAACTCTTTAAAATGATCAATTTTAGGTATGATTCCATATCCAGAACCGTATCAGAGTATGTACCAACGGCGCCGGCTTGGAGCTCTAGGCTTTGAATGGCGCCCCACTTCCATAAAATTGGCTATTGGGACTGATGTTGGTTTAAGCCAAGAATACCAAATATTGCCCTTGGCTGATTTGGACATTGTGGCTGAACCTCTGCCAGAGTTTTTAGATGCTATGCTCTGGGAACCAGAAAATGATGTGTTAAATGATGATACTGATTCTGAGTACATTGTCAATGAGGATTATTCCAGTGAAGAGAAGGGGCATTTAGGTGACAACTCAAGTGATTTAGACTGTAGTGAAGATGAGAAGATTATACAATGCCAGAATCGCAGATCAAAAAGGAAAAAGTCAATAACAGAAGTAAGTATTAACAATTTAACATTCAAAAACACACTTTTACTTATCTACCCTTGGCATGTCTGTGAAATGTTTTCATTGGCTTTCAGATTGAGCGTGTGACCTCTTCAGGGAAGCGCATGAAGAAGAGAATAGTGGACAAGGAAGTGAGATTATCAAAAACTAAAAGAATAAAAAAATCTAGGAATGGCCGAAAGACTACTAAGATAAATTTTGCAAAACCAAAATCGTTGAGACCTCAACGGGTCGCCACACGCCATGCAAATAATACTTTCCTTCATCATTCTGATTTGTCTACTGGTGAAGAGGATGATGCTAGCTCAGATTACTATTCATCAGAGAGCGATTCACAAAAGTGTTCTTATGCTCAGAGTGAAGAATCTGAAGGGATGTTGGAAAATGAAGACATGAAGTTTTTGAAAAGTGAAGAAACTCCCACTTCAGATGAGCCTCCATCGAACCCCCAACCTCAAACAAATGTTGAAAAGAAGAGGAGATTGGTTTTGAAATTCTCCATTCGTGATGCCAAAAAGCCTGTGCCTTTGAAACTCTCCAACTCAGATTCTGACAATCAGACCTTTTCAGTCCCTTCTTCCTTGAGAGCTGGAGGAGAATTTTTTGAAGATAATCAAAGTGAAAAGAAGTCCATGGATCCAGGATTAGCTTCCTCATATGGAATCGGTTCTGATTCATCTGAAAACAAGAGAAGAGCTGCATGTACTGAGATTCAAGTCCTTGATATATTGTCTGGGGATATACAAATGTCTGCAAGTTACCAGGACCCTGTGACTGGGTGTGGAGATGTCAAAGCAAGCACTTCCATGCATACCCCGTTGGTTGATTTGGCACACGCTGATTCATTCATCGGACCTGGAGTAGATATGGAAAAGCACATCAGGCTTGAGAGTCTCTATGGAAAAGCATCTGCAGATTTTGTAGTTCAAGATCAGGAGAATACGTTGGCAGCGGAACAATTTAAGAAAAGAATGGGTGATTCTGGATGCTCTTATAATCAGGCACATATTAAAACCGGAGGTAATAATATTAACACCTGTGACAATATTTCTCAAGTTAATGGGAAACCTAAATTGAAGCCAACCATCCTCAAAATCAAATCAAGGATGATTTCTGGGGAGGTGGGACCTCCCGTGGTGCGTGCATTTACCACACCTGTGGATGTTTCTTGTGAGGATGATTCAAGATCCAGCAGAGAGAGGAACAGATTTCTAACAGTCTCTAAAACTGGTAATGGCATCAAAGAGCCAAATTGTTTGCAGCGTGTAAACCTAGATATGGATAATACAATTAATGGAAGCGAGTGTAGTAGAAAGTTGTCTAATGAAGGTGGAGTTTGTGAAGATACTTCCAAGGAAAGTTTCCATTACAGAAACATGTTGATGGATTATCCTGATGCTGCAACCGATGCAACAAGGAGAAAGAGGTCATTAAGACTGAAGGCAACTTCAAGGGATATTAATCTTGTTAACCTTTCCAAGAGAGCAGTTGATGTTTCCCCATCAACAGGAGTTTCAACTTCTAGGAGCAAGGGAAAAGTTTCTTACAATGATGAAAAGGTTTACCCTAACAACTTCACCAATGTGCCAAGAAAATCAGACTGGTTGTTGTTGTCGAAGAAGGAGGAGGGGTACCGCTACATACCTCAGCTGGGTGATCAAGTAGCATACTTAAGACAGGTATGTCATCTGTTGTTTAATAATACTATTTGCTTCTTTTCAATGCTGTTAACCACTTAGGGTCTGTCTTGAACTCCAAAATGCTAGGGAAAGAAAACAGGGTGTAAACTAGAGTAGAAATCTGTAAGGGAATAACATCAGCGAAAAATAAAAAATGGTTCAAACTCAATGAATTTAATATTTCTCCGTGCTCATTTTATATATTCATTTCTATTGTATAAAGACTGAGATTTTAAAGTTCTCATCAATTTTGAGTTTTCCTTCATTTGAAAGGTAAATCTAATCACAAATAACTACTTTCCATAGTTTTATTTTCTTTCCCTATTATTTTCTGCATTCCAAGCACTTGGTGTTTAGGTAATTTAAAATTATTTTCTGTGATCAATAGGGCCATCAAGAATATATGGAGTCCAGCCAATCATTGGAGCGTTGCCCTTGGGAAAAGCATGGGGCGAGAATTAGAGCTGTGGAAGTCTGTTTGGTTGAAGAACTTAATTATGCAACAGTCCCTGGGTCTGGAGAGAGTTGTTGTAAAATCACACTTAAATTCATTGATGCATCTTCCAGTGTACTTGACCAGAAAATTAAATTTACAGTGCCAGAACTAAATGATTTCCCAGACTTTATTGTTGAAAAATCACGGTATGATGCGGCAATAAAGAGATGTTGGATGTGTGGAGAGGAGTGTCAAGTCTGGTGGAGGGATGAGAGTGAGGAAAATGGTGGGAGATGGTGGGATGGTATGATAGTATCTGTGGAGGACAAGTCAAGTGAGTACCCAGGGAGCCCATGGGAAAGGTATGTTGTTAAGTACAATAGTGACCACAGTGATACACATCTTCATTGCCCCTGGGAACTGCAAGATCCATATTCCCTTTGGGAGCATCCTCATATTGACCCCGAAAGCAACAACAGGATGCTAAATGCTCTCAATAAATTGCTGCAGCGTGCAAACACTAATCAGGTCTCCCCCTTCTCCCCCTAACTACGCGAGCAATTGACTCATGATTTTGATTGAACTTAGAAAATAATAACGTTATAAAACGGAATATCTTTGGATGTTTCAGGATTATTTCGGGATTCTGCAGTTAATAAATGTAGCATGTAAAGTGGAATTTATAAACAGGTATTCTTTTTGTTTTTTTTTTTAATTTTATGAATGTCAATACAAACAAGTTGAATGAAAATATCGATGAGTGTAATGAAAAATGATGATTACAGGTTTCCTGTTCCGTTATCCCCTGACATAATCCTCTCAAGATTGGAAAATAACTATTATAGAAGCTTGGAGGCTTTGAAGCATGATGTCAGAGTGATGCTCGGGAATGCTATGGATTATTTTGGGAAAAATACAGCAGTGGCAGTAAAAATGAGGCGACTGTCAGATTGGTTTGCCAAACACTTATCAAAACTGTGAGATTATTAAAATTCATCTCCAGCCTCTTTTTTTGGTAGCACAAAGGAAAGCCCATTCCGACATCACTATTCTTAAATTAATTCATACCCGGGTGGCAAGCCAACTATCATCACTCACACCAGCTTGCCCCGCCCCTACATTTTGGTTCTTCTCTTTCACGCTACATCTGCACAAAGTATTCTCAGCGTGGACTTTCTTAGGCCATTTATGTATTACCATAGTAACTATATGACTGAACCGTGAGTTTCAACATCATATATAAAAGTGAAAGATGCAGAAATTAGAAGGGTTTTTGTTAGATTTTTTATTTGTCCAAGTACTGTATAGCTCTTAGAAGGTTCGCAGCTGTGAGGGGCTTTGTTAAGTAGTAATCCATTCCGACGCCAGTGATCTTCTCCATCTCTTCCTTTCCTGTATGTGCTGTTAGAGCGATGATGGGAATCCATATGCCCATTGCTTCCCCCTTTTCCTTTATGCGCCTTGTCGCCTCAAATCCATTCATTACTGGCATCTAATCAATACAAATGTTAATTAATTACCATCAATGATGAAATAGAGAATATTGGTACTTTTTCCTTTTTGATTTAAATCAGTTAATACTACTACCCTCAGGGCCTCACCCTAAAACTTTTATTTCTATCTATTACTATTCTTGGGACTTGAGTAATATATGTATGGAACTTCAAAAATGGAGTGAGCAATTTTTACCTCACAATCCATTATGATGTAATCAAAGGGCAGTTGAGTATCCTGACTTTGTAGAGCCTCATATACAAGTCGTATAGCTTCTGCACCATTGTCACATGTGTAACTTTGAGCACCTAGTTGGGAAACTACTGCCATGCATATTTTGCGTTGCAGTGGAGTATCTTCAACTATCAAAAGTCTTTTCCCTTGCAATGGCTTGTTTAGGGCAACAAGGCCACCTCTTGTGCTTGGTCCACACTCATCATCTTCATACTCTTCTTTGTCGATTGCCACCTGTATCTCTCCTGAAAAAATGAATGATCAATGGGAAACTGATTAAATAGGAAGTGTAAATTAAAAGGAAGCATAAATTACATATTGATACTCAACTGTTACCTTTGGTTGGTGCAAATTCGGGTAGAAGCTCTAAAATTTGAGGTAATCGTGAGCCATGCAATGGCTTAGACAAGACAATATCAGTTGAGGTGTCATGTGCGCTTGACATGTCTATCCAAACAACTTTAGCAAATCCTTGATGGAGCTGCCTCTGGAACTCAGCAATTGCTCGACTCACTTCTGGGAATGGCCCCGCTCTCTTGTCTATTATTATCAACACCACAGTGTCTTGTGTTCCATCTGAAGCACAGGTAGGCGCTTCCTTTGCTCTTGATCTTGAGGATGAAAGAGAAGAAGATGATGATGAGTGGGAGAGGCCATTTTTGGAATAAGTGGAAAGCTTACGCCTGATCTTCTTTAGTGTTTGGCTTAGCTGTGTATATCCCTTGTTAATAACACTTACCTTAACCCCGTGAAACTCTAGAAATCTTCTTACAACTTCACTCCTCTCTTCGCTCTGAATGAAGAGAACAACTTGTGATGACAACGTTGATTGGCCTTGCACTTTTGATGATGATGAACACTGATAATAGTTATGAGGATGGGAGCGAGAGCCATATTGAGACTCTATATCTTGCCTAAGATTATTGGGAGGATGAATTTTCAAAAATAGGTTAAACCTAAAACAAGCCCCCCTTTCCCCGATTTCCTTGTCCACGATTCCAATTTCCCCGCCCATCAAACGGACTAGAGACCGAACTATGCCAAGCCCCAAACCATGACCTAGATGTCCACTATTGGCACCCCTTTCTTTGATCTGGACATAATTTTCAAACACAAACTTTTGTTTCTCCTTCGGAATACCTCTCCCTGTATCAACCACATCAAATATATACTCCACATCATCGTTGTCTTTGAGTCTCGTTTGTGCGATTGGTTTATCTTGACCAACACCTCCAAAAAGGAGGCGAGATGCATAACTCCAAGAAGAGGCAAGTTGAACACCATCATTGTCGTGGTCACTAGTAGCGTGGTTTTTTATTGCCCGAACACGAAGGGAAACATAACCTTCATCTGTGAATTTGATGGAGTTGTACAGTAAATTACATAGAATCTGCTTGAGTTTGCCTCTGTCCCCCTTGACATCCCTAAAATTTTCAACTGACCCGTCACATGGGTCCAATATCACATCCACTCCCTTCTCCATACCCACCGGATAATATAGATCCACAACATCTTCTAGCAGGTCTTGTAAATCAAATTCTTCTTCTTCAACTTGCATCATCCCTGATTCAATCTTGGTAGTGTCAAGAATTGAATTCAACAAGCCTGCATACAATAGACTCATTTTGTTATACTAGTAGTTGTAGTAGAAGAAGTAATAATAATAATAGTAATAATAATAATAATAATCATTACATAGTTCAAAATAAACTTTTTGTTCAAATTTTGGACTGTCCAAAAACCCCTTGTTTATATTTTTGGACGACCCCAAAAATATTACATTAGTTCTCTTTAGAGGATAGCAATATGTAATTCTTATATCACATGAATCATCATTTCTATTAAAATCTCAACCAAACCTTTTCTTTTTTAGCTACCTGCACAATAAGAGTAACAAACCCTGACGAGATATTTCAAATTAATTCCTAGGAAGTTCACATACTTTCAAGATCACTTGTGCAAGACTCCATGTGCTTGAGATTATTATCCAAGGAAGAACGAGGAGCGGCCTCAGCTCGGCACATGTGAATCAAACCAGTGATGCCTGCGAGAGCAGTGCGCACCTCATGGCTCGCACTCGCAACCGCATCCATCTTTCTCATGCTCTTCCTCTCCGCTTCCTGGAGGGCATACTTATATCTGATGCTTTCTGCTTGCGTGCACATCTCTCTCCTGGTCACTATTATGCTCCAGCATGTGAACCCTAAGACACACCCAACTGTAACACACACATTCATTGCAACAAGAATAGCCCCAATTATTACATTCATCTGAAGCCTTCTTTGTATCCCTTCTAGTGCCCTAGCATGTCCCTACATTACCGATTAAGAAGAGAATAATATATTCATATCTAATTTCTCAATGAGATATAAATAAAATAACTAATATCCGCTCAAATTGCTAAAACTGTAGCTAAATCAACTGATTCAAATTATTGATTTGTGCCAGAAATATGTGCAATTTTTTAAGGTTGATTGAAGATCAAACGAAATCTTTCATGTCAATATTTGAACAAATATAAGTAAATATAATTAATATATTTAGAGTCCACTCTAAAAGTGCCATAATAACACACAAATCAAATTCAAATGTCATAAATAATTGATGCTCAAAATCAAAGAATAAACGAGGACTATGTTGAGGGAGAAAAGTCAAATTGCAAATCATTTTGGATGTATGGGTATATTTTTTTTAGGTAGATTCTATGGTACCCCAAATGTACCGTACCAGTGTCCACATGGACCAATAAGAATAATGCAGTTGAATTATTTAAATCTAAATTAAAATGCATATAATGAACTGGACCAATCAAATTCATGGTAGGTACAGTACCCCATTTTTTAAATGGGTATCGGAGTTGTCACCATTTTTTTATTATTATAGAAAAAAGATCCCATGGAAAAAGCTATGTGCTTGTTTGGTAAATCATTTTCTTTCTTATCAGCCTTATCTCAGTTTTGTTTACCAATTTTTATTTTTAAGGTCGTAAGTATTTTTTGGCTAGATTGACTAAAGGCGTTTTTTCACGAATATTTCTAAATTAAAATTTAAAAATAAAAATATGACTTAATTTATAATTTTCCAAAAAGGTACATATCCCAGACTAGTTCTTAGTAACTTGTCACTCTGAAATACACTATAGTGACTATTGTCCAGTTACTCGTTCACAGTGACTAGTCATTTTTTTGTCTGAAAAACATAATTAGTCATATTTTTGTCTTGAGAAACTATGTTAGTAATATACATGTCATTTTTTCTTGACTAAATGTTATAAGAATTTCTTTCTTTTAAATAAGACTATTTTAGCTATAATATATATATATATATATATATATAAATTTTTCCCATATATATCTTTTTTTATTTTATTACTCCGTAATAAAGTACATTTCAATATAAGTAATTCACAATTATACCAATTCAATGAATTCTGGAATTTCAGTCAAAGCTTCAATATTTTGCACATTCACCATATATACTAAACCAATTATTGTGAAACCAAATGAGATCAAAATGATCAGCCATTTTAGGAAAAAAATATCGTTCGTTTGATAAAAAATCTAGCAAATACAGCAACGTTCACCTATTTAATTATGGGAGTAAATTTAATTAAATTAAATTAAATCAATACCATCAAATCATGAGCAATCCTAAATGACACAAGAATGAGTAAACCAGCAATCACCACTGCTCCAAAACCCTGCTCCCAAATACACGTTCAAGAAAAAACAGAGGTAATCAGAAAAAATAGTAATACAAATTACATCGGATTAAGAAACAATAAACACGACTTATAATTTTCTTACATGCCTCCTAATGGTCTTAGTGACAGTTAAATTAAATTTATAAATAACCTTAAAATTCTCTCACAAGTCACAACTTGAACCAATCATATTAAATATAATACTCTCATATTTCTTATCATGTACTACCTCTAGTTCCAAATAAACTTCATGGTCTCCTTAGCTTTTTGAGCAAATTCAAAATTAAACTTTACACTTAATATTAAATATTCCGTAACCCTTATACCATTAATTTGTACTTATTTTACACTCATTTTCTCTCCCACTATCTATAATCTACTTTCTGTAGGGGCATGATGGAAAAATCAAAAGAATTCTTTTTAATTATTTAAAAACCATAAAATCAAAGTATGAAGTCTATTCGGAATCAGAGGGAGTACTATACTATACCCGCCAGTACTCGTTGGAAGAATTGAAACAAAAACATACATGAAAATTAGTAGTGTAATTACTCCGTATTTAATAATCTGGTGAAACCATCCTATATAACTATACTACGTATTAAGTAATGCTAATAAATGAGAGCAAAATATATAGTATGAATAGGTACGTACCATGGAGAGGAAAAAGCAAATAGGCCTCCTAGTTATCAAAGAGGGGATGCGTTGCTTAGCCATGATATGAACCAGCTTCCTCGTCTATCAGTTATAAGCTTAAAAGACAAATACATATAATAACGTTAGTTGCATTACTATATTAAGATTACTACCTCCGTCCCAAAGAGATTTACCATATTGTATTTTCTTGATCCACGACGGCAAATTTTAGACAATAATCTTAATTTTTATATTTGTATACTACGTATAATTTATAAATTTTATACTTTTATGAAAACTATTTTTAATGAGGATCATTTTAATATAATTTTTATAATCAAAATAGTTTTGTATTAAAAATATCATTGGTTAAATTTGACTATCATGAGTCCTATTCCTGTCCAGCTGGCCTGACGGGAACCGCCGTCAGACAGAGGGAATTTTGGACCCTTCCTGATTGAAGTTTTTGATGAAATTTTGTGAAAATGTTATTCATCAAGTCTAGTTTACCCATACCAAATTTCAGCTAAAACTTCAATCGGGAAAGTAGTCAAATAAATTATTTAAGAACACTGTGCAGTTAATATATACAAAACAACAAAGTATTTTTCAAAAAATAATTTAACTGCCTTATCGATTGAATATTTAAATGAAATTCGTTATGAGTAAACTAGACTGGATGAAGAACATCCTCATAAATTTTCATTAAAAAATGCCACCGAAAAGGGCCCCAAACATGCTTGGCCAGCCGGCGGTTTCCGACAGGCCGGCTGGACATGAAGATTTGTCAGACTATCATTATATTGACGAAGAAAATTCAATTTGACAAACCTCTTTGAGACGAAAGGAGTAGTATATGTGGATTATATATCTATAATTTATATAAATATGTGACTTACATTGATGATGAGCGTCTGTTTTGCAAAACATATGCTACGTTGGAAGTGACAGGATCAAATAAAGGTTTAATTGAGTGTAGTATGCGAGAAGGGAGATAGTATGCAAGGCAAAGCACGGTAACTATGTATCTATAATTAATCTATATACGTGTGTGTTCTTGCTTGGTAGAGGCCAGAAGATAGATTGTGGTAGAGGTTTAATTGAGAAAGGAAGAGATGCTAAAACATGAAACAAATTCCCAAACAATAAATAAAAAGGGAAAGGATCAATTCCATTTAATACTATTATTCATGCAAGATAAACGAAAGATTTTTTTCCCTTTTTAAAATTCAACCAAAGATTTGATAGATTACGATCCATAAGCTCCTCATAATAGTAATCTGCCCACAATAGAAACTAACTAATTAATCACGTACAAACGTACAACAGCAGTGGCGGAACCAGCTCGGGAACCTTGGAGGGGCACATTAACACATACTCCATAAACCCGAGTATATATTATTGATATTGTAATAAATAAATCAATAAAATTTAAATAAAACAACTAATTAAGAAATACATTAATTTTAATTGATGCATCAAATGAGCGAGAGTTTTTAACATTATTTCTAGTGTCAGGAATGAGATTATCTGACAAAGAAATTACATTACTCGATGAATAACACCCAATGTTCGAAATGACTGTGTTTGTGAATAAAGAAAAAAATTCTCGAAGTAGGCATAAAAATGTTTGAGAATTCCAAAATGTGACTCTTTTGTTTTATCCCCTAAATAAGAGTAATTAATGCTAATTTTGGAAACTATCTATTGTCATGTTTAAAGGCTAGTACTGCCAAAAAATTACAGTAATTACTCCTACTGAGAAAATAAAAATATGATAATTCTATTTTGAAATACACAAACATTTTTACTCCTATGTAGAATATAATTTTTTTATAAAAATAATTTATAGCATCAGAAAAAAGCACAAAATTGAAAATTCCTAAGGTGGCTTATATCCTAGTTCGCAGTCACCTACAGTGTACACCCCAATCACTAAATAACTTTTCGAAATTCAACATATACAATTAAACGAATTCGTGGAATATAAATCAACCCTATTTCGAAAAAGAATATAATTCAAACAAAATTAAATTAATTCCAGAATCACCTGCCCCAAAATCAAACCTATTAAAATGCCTTGGGAGAAATATTATGCTAGACCAGAGGACGTGCCCTGCTGGCTGCTGCGGTTGTTGTGCAGGACGGCGGAACAACTATTTGGCTTGCTGCGAAGAAGAGGGGTCGGTGAGTCGGTCTTCGCTCAGGGGCTGGGGTATGTATACTATGGATTAATGTATGTATATATATACTAAAAGAACAAAAAATTGCAGGGGCACAAGCCCAGCCCTATGGTAGTTCCGCCAGTGCGTACAAGCATGCACGTACATACGCATACTGCAGCATACACGGTACTTACAATGATACACATGTAAGGTTGTAAACAAATCAAATAATTTGTGCTCGATTCGCGATTCGAATTCGTATAAGACGATTCGAATTCGAAAAATTCAAATACAAATAAGAATATTAAATTTGATTCGAGTTGTTATCAAATACAAATAAGAATATCAGTGTATTCGATTCGAATATTAATCAAAGATATTTGATTAATAATAATGGTAATATTAATATTAATAATAATAGTAATAACACTATAATAACTTTTAAAAGAAACAATACACCCAAAGTGTAGCCCATGTATCCATTTTTGCATACAGATTCCAAGCCCATTTGTAATAAACTAGAATATAAATACGAATACAAATCAAATTTTTGGTTCAAATATCTTTCAAATACAATACAAATAATTATGTATTTGATTTGAAGAATAAAACTAGAGTTGTTTGACTTTGATATATACAATTATCAACTTATTTAACACATTATAAGTATAATTTCTAATGTGTGTGTTAGTGTTTATTTCAAAAAGTTTGAAATAGATTTATATTTTATTAATCATAAAATTAATTCACTTTAGTATATTGTGCACCATCTAAAAATGTATTGATCCATTAAATTTAAATTCTA